GTTAAGTGAAGACTTTTTTGGGGACGTAGAAGATGACAAGAATCAAGAATCAAGAGAAATTGCAAAGGCAATAACCCAGCAGATGCGTGAAAAACTAGGGAAGCATCGTAGGGATGAAACCTTGCTTTCTTCTGTGTTTTCCAATGGCTATGTTGGAGATGAAAGTTCTTTTAATAAATCAGAAATTGAATATGCAGCCGGTGTTAACAGTGATTCAGAAGTCATGTCACCCATATTTTGTGATGATAGGTATTCTAGCCCTTATTACTCTTCATTTAGCCGTGCATCTATTTCTCGACATTCATCAGTTTGCAAAGAAGCAAAGAAACGTTTATCTGAAAGATGGGCCCTGATTGCATCTAATGGGAGTAGTCTTGGAAAAAAACACATGCAGAGAAGCTCAAGCACTTTGGGTGAAATGCTCTCTCTTTCTGAGACAAAGAAGGCAGGAAGGCCTGAGGAAGAAGGTGGTTCCAATGTAGAACGTAGGGATTCAGATTCTCACTTCATTAGTGATCAGAGGAAGGACGAGAATGTGGATAATTCACCTAGGAATCTCTTGAGATCGAAATCTGTTCCTGTATCTTCTGCTGAGTTTGCCGCCAGGTTCAATGTAGTCACTCCAGATCCAGGTCGTGGTTATAAACCAAAGGTTCTTGAGGAGGCCACTAAGACAAGAATTATGAAAACATCATTAAAAGGGACGGTTACAAGTTTGTTTTTCTCGAAGAACAAAAAAGATGATGAAGATAAATCTAGCGCATCTGAATCCCATGTGGAATGTTGCTCTTCTGGAATGCTTTCTGGACAAATTGTCAACAGTAAAAATGAAAGTCTTCGCTATAAAATGACCGACTGTTTGTCACCTCGGCTGCAGGAGCTATCGAGCATTGCATCTTCCCCAAATCCAGTTGGCAATCAGGGCATAATATCACCAGAGGTAATTTCATTACCAGTGGGTGCTTTTCTCCACTCTTATTAGTATCTGTTAATTAATGCATGTCTAATTTTGGTAGTTACTCTAGCGAAATTAGTGACAAAGGTCCTTTTCTGATCATCAACTAATTCTGTTTGAATCAATTGATCTAAGAAAGCTCGTTGTGGCTTAATTATATCTTATCTGGGCAATGGTGTGAACAGAATGCTATAAAATTATGATGGTTATAAAAAGTTTCAACAAATTTATCAGCTGGATGATAGAAATAAGGGACATACAGAATTTTAATGAAGATGAAGTAGTTTACCTAATAACTCTCAGTATGGCTTTTATAATGCATATTAGGCTTTGATTAAAGTTGATACTATCTTTCCCAATATCTGCATACGTCCCCGTGCTAGTCCTTTAGCGGCAAATTGGTAATGCTCTCTCTTTGGTATCTTGTAGTGTTACTGTGTTAGTAATCATCGCTAATACATAATGCTCTCTTTTTTTTACTTTATGTAATAATTTGACATTAATCCAAAAAACTAGTGACCATATTTAACGTTTCTCTACTTTTGTAGGCTGAATTGTCCGTGAAAGGACGTGCTGCGCCCGGAAATCTTAGTGAGAACCATGACCGACAAAGTCCAATATCAGTTTTAGATTCATTATTTGAAAAGGAAGAACGTACTACACCTGACTCTGCTGGTCATATCAAGCCAGACCAACATGGTAGAATTTCTCAGTTTCAAATATTCTCGTGTGTGTGTTCTGTTCTATTATAATGTCTTCATTTATTTTCTTGTATGCCCATCCCTTATATCCAAATAAACAGGTCCTGAGTTTCCAGTTCATTATATTAAATCAAACTTGATTGACAAATCGCCGCCAATAGGATCAATTGCTCGTACTCTATCATGGGATGATACGTGTGTGGATACAGCATCTTCATATCATTCAAAACCATCCTTTCCCTCACAAACAGCAGAGGAGGAAGAAGGAGAATGGTTTTTCTTTGTTCAGACATTATTAACAGCAGCTGGTCTCATTGGAGAGGTACAATCAGACTCATTTTTGGCTAGATGGCATTCGTCCAAAAGCCCACTTGATCCATCATTAAGGGACAACTACATTGATTTTCAAGACGAGGAAACACTGCATGAAGCCAAGCTAAGGCAAAAGAGATCAACACAAAAACTCGTCTTTGATTGTGTCAATGCAGCTTTATTGGACATTGCAGGATATGGGTTGGACTCATGCCGAAGAGCCAATGCATCATTAAGAATGGTGGATCAGGTGTGGGCACGTATTAGTATGTGGATTTCTCGTGATTTTACAGGCGATTGTGGGGATGATGACGATCTGCTGGTGGCGAGAGTGGTGAGAAATGAGGTGGCGGGAAAGGGGTGGGTTAATTGTTTGAGATTGGAGATGGATAATTTAGAGAGGGAAATTGAATGGAAGTTGCTGGAAGATCTTGTGCAGGAGGCTATGGAGGAATTGACAGATAGGATATCATGAGGTATTTATCCTTTTTTTTGTTGTTGTTGTTGTAACTTTTATATTATTTCTTTAATAATTAATATACATCTCAATTGTTTGGGTATTATTATATTTTCACTATAATGGTCAGACCATCTCTAATCCATTGCTGCAAATCTGCATCCATTTTATGCGTGTATTTCTTTTTGACCTTTTTTTCTTTTTTTTGAATTTCATTTTTAAAACATACTACGGCTTGTTTGGTAAATTAAAGTCTTTAATTAGACAGTTATTAAACGGTATTAAAGAAGAAAAAGTAGGGGTGCCTGGCTTGCCTTTGACACTAGGGCCTATCCTGCCCACAAGAAGTTGGCCCGTTTTCAATGTTCGGGCCCTATCCGTCCTTATAATCATTGGGCCTAGGCCTTTGAGAAAACTCGGCAGTCAATTACTCTCAAGTCATTGTACGGGGCCCCGTCCGTCCTTATAACATGTGCACATATTGTGTCCTTATAATTATGTCGACGTTAACAGTTAAGTCATGTTGATCGCTTTGGGTGTGTAATTTTTCTTTGTGCATCTTTGGTTGTAAAATAAATGACATAATGACAAGCCGAATTAGCAATCACTTATATGCTCACTCCGGTTCGAGCTCTAACGATAAAAGGGTCTAGGGGCCTCCTGGGGCATAGCCTACTGGTGCAAAGGACAGGAGTGAGGTTATCTCACGTTTTGTTGACAATTGCAGTGTAAGGGTTCGATTCCTGAAACATAGAATTGGGCTCCTTGCAGGCGTAGTGTATAGGCAGCTCTTGTTCCCTAACTTGTTGGGGGTATATCTTGCGATTTACCTCTTTCACAAAGTTTTAGGGGGTGGCGCGGTGAGAGCCTTCAAGGTTGGGGTTCAACCTTTATAAAAGGGTCCAGGGTAATTTCTTTTTAAATTACAACTTTTGATATGTGAGCTGTAACATCGAAGTTTTAATCATATATTTTATGATTCACAATTTTTTAATTTTTACTAAAATTTATTGAAAATCCAATTTTAATATATACACCAAACACGGTTGAAGTGGCAATGCCTTTTATACTTTTCCACAAACAACTGAGACAACATAACGAGCTTATTTTTCCTAGCTTTTTGGTAACGATCTCCATCTCACATAGGGATTGCACGAGGAAGGGATCAAAATCCCTGCATTAAATACTTTTAAAGGTGACGTATTTTTGTTGAGTGAGTCAAATGAGATTTAATTAGGTTACTGGAGTTTCATGAAGTCGATGAAGACTTAATTGGCATAAATGAACAAGGCTATTTATTGTGACTTATCCAGCTATAAAGTATTACAATTAAATTACTTTACCATTTTTTTTTGACATAATGGTCGATATCCTCTCGCAGCACGTGAGTCCCCAGTCAATGTGAGTGTCGATTATTCATTATGTCAAAAGAATTTTGTCACCATAGCATTGTTGAAGATATTAATGCTGGGTCAGAACAAATTGATATACAAAAGATATATCCCATGCAGATTGGTAACAATAATATCAATAGTGCTTGTTTGAGATATCTTAAAAGTAGAGGTCAAAATTAATAATTAATTTTAATAAAACTTTTTATGAGAGTCAAAACGTTTATTCAACTTTTTAATCGCGTATTTCATTAACTTTTAATAAAAAATGTTATGACTTTTATAAAAAACTTTTGTGTCAAATAACCCATAATGTCAAATGAATATTTTATTTGCAGATGCTAGCAATCAATCGTCTATAGAGTGCATTTTTACTGGGAGCATTGGGAAAAAAAGAGATCAATGGGAAAATATATCTGATAACATTGATCATGAAATTATTATTATTTTTTTTTTAAATCTATAGAAAAACAATTCTAGTATGTATATCGAAATTTATCCCAAAGTTACATCATGCCCTAATTGAATTATATTCCTACTAGTGCCCTTGAGAAAATGAGGCGACCAAAATTTATAATTTTGTCACTTGTAGTTGCTAAAAACTTTTTTATTTTTAGAGCATGTATGATGTAGATTTTCTTGAAATAATTTTTTAAAAAGAATTTTTTTTTAAAAATATGTAGTTAAAAAGTGGGGAAAAAATTACAGATTCATGAACAAAATTATTTTATTGAAATAATGTATAATTAAAAATGAGTTTGAAAAAAATAAAGAGTAAACCAAACCAAAAAAAGAACTCATGTATCCAATCTCAAATTTATTACGAAAAAGATTTAACCCCTGTTTGGTTTGCATAAAATTAGATTTTTAGTAAATTTTGATAAAAATTGGCAAAATCTATGGTTGAAAAAGTCGAGTCCATAAAATATGTAGTTGAGAATGAGAGCCAAATATGGACTTAATTTGTTGTTTTCGTCAAGTTTGTAGCATTCATCTCCTACTTAAGTTATAAAATCACCTTTGGTACAAAGTTGCTAGTTCAAATAATATCTTATTAAGCTTTGTCTCTTCCTTAGCTGGTCAGTTTTTTCGAGCACTCTCATGCAATGGACGTTAGCCATTTATTAGGGTTTCAACAAACTACCAGCAAATTTCATTACCCTTGAAGAAGGCTCAAATCCCTCTATAAAACCCTCATCTCATACATACATCTCTATAGAGTGATAATAGTTTCAATTTTGTATGCAACCATGTCCATCCCAGCTTCTTATGCCATCTTGGCTGCAGTTTCCTTGGCAGTGATCATAATGCCCATGGCTATGCCACTAGTTGAGGGATCCCGCACTTTCTTCGTCTTTGGCGACTCGCTAGTCGACAACGGCAACAACAACTACTTGGCTACTGCTGCACGAGCCGACTCTCCTCCTTATGGCATCGACTTTCCGACTCATCGTCCCACCGGCCGTTTTTCAAATGGTTATAGCATTCCTGATCTCATCAGTAAGTTCCCCTTTCTCAAAACTCATTTTTCCTTTAATTCAATTTTAATCATGCATTTTATGAGACCCAGTGGCGAATTTAGTATGGGGGTAGTCGGGATTTTTCAAGATTTTCAAAAAATTCCTTACAGTAATCGATTTTGCCACTACAATTAGAATTATGTGCTTCAAGATCTTGCTTTTTCATGATTTTAATTATGGAAATTTGCCCCCACATCTAGACAATCCAGATCCCCCCTAATGAGACTCACAACTTTTATTAATCTTTCAACCATACATTTCATTAACTTTCATAAAAACCAATTGTAAATCTGATTTTTAACGTACCCAAAAGGGCTAAATTTCCTGTCTTTAACAACTTAGTCGAAAATATCTCAACAATCTGTAAATATATCGATAGGTCAAAAACTTGGTGCCGAATTAAGTTTGCCATACTTGAGTCCCGAGATGAAAGGGCAAAAGTTGCTGGCTGGTGCAAACTTCGCCTCAGCTGGAATCGGAATTCTCAATGACACAGGGATTCAGTTTGTAAGTCTAACAAACTTTTATCTATGGGACAGTATTTTTTTGCTTATTTTTCATAGATTCAGATGAGTCAATCTTTTGTTACTTTTAAGGAAAAAAAAAGTTACTTTTTTTGTCCAGGTAAACATAATAAGAATACATGAACAATTTAAGCTGTTCAAGGAGTATGAACGAAGGGTCAGGGCTCTAATTGGAGAAGAAGAGACAAAGAAACTTGTCAAGAAGGCTATAGTTCTGATCACACTTGCTGGCAATGATTTTGTTAACAACTACTTCTTGACTCCAGTTAGCGCAAGAAGCCTTGAATTTAATATCCAGGATTTCTCCACCTATCTCATCTCTGAATACAAGAATATTTTGCTGGTATTTACAAATTCTTTTACACGTGTGTGTAAGCATGGCACGTGTCTACTCAGACAATTAAAGCAACTCAATTTTTACTAACTACAACATTAATGTCATGTTAGGTTTGATCTACGTCATTATTTTAACTTGTGATGTTTGATATACGTCATTATTTTAACTTGTGATGCTGAGATTAGGTTTGTAAGGATCTTGACCTTGTTCTCAAATCGTTTTTTGACGTACTATCTATTTTGGGAGAACATTTACTTTCTTATTTCTAACGGATTTCTTTCATTCATGATTTGAACTCAAGATCTCTTTACATTATAAGATACTTAAGTTGAATTCTGATGCCATTTGAACAACTTAAGTCTCTCATAAGGTGGAGGTCTTTGGTTCGAATCCTAGGGGATGCAAAAACAAAATAGAATCCGCGAAAGTTAAAATAGATAAAGGCTCTCCCAAAATGAAAAATACGTAATCTACTAACGAGTTGGGCACAAAGGCCTAGTTAGTACAAGTAGTACAAGTCACTTTTACAAACATGCATCTCTTTAGATATATAGCCAAATATGTCTCAACGACGGAATTTATTCGATGTTGCAGAGTCTATATCAGTTGGGATTCCGAAAGATTTTAGTCACAGGAGTAGGACCGATAGGTTGTGCTCCGGCTATGCTTGCGACTAGGAGCATAAATGGTCAATGTGCAGAAGAGCCTAACATTGCTATGAAAATATTCAATCCCCTTCTCAAGAAAATGCTTAAAGATCTCAATCACGAGCTTGGCTCAGCAGCGTTTATCGCAATTAACTCACTGGAAATGCAAAGCGATGTCATTTACCATCCTCGCACCCATGGTTTGTCATCATCCATCCTTTTCGAAATATTGTTTTTTGTTACTGAAGAAAATTAACTTAAGTGATATCTGCAACAGGTTTTATCGTATCGAATGTAGCATGCTGCGGACAGGGACCCTACAACGGGTTAGGACTTTGCACAGCTGCATCGAATATATGCCCGAATAGGGATCTTTACGTGTTTTGGGATCCATTCCATCCTTCAGAAAAGGCAAACAGGATAATCGTCGACGCGATGTTCAATGGTTCTGAGAAGTACATGTCCCCAATGAATCTAAGCACAATCATGGCCATGGATTCCATGACGTAGATGATATAAGATTAATGATATGTTTGGTGAGGTGAATTGCAGAACTTAAAAAGAATAAAACTCTCTTGGTTCTTGTAATATTTAGTCCTGCTCAATATGGTGCACCTACCAAGTATGCCCCAAAAATAGTATATATGTCAAGTTTGTGTAATCGTGCTCTTTAAGTTTTCTTTATTGGGGTTTCGTTGAGTGTTTGTTCCATTAGGTGAAAATTAATTGGGAAGAATTACTGTCGCAGGCAATAAATGCAATGGAAAAGGAAGAAAAAAACAGAAAAGAGAACAAAACTTACAGCAAACAGAAAAGGAGAGGTAGAATTATTTTACCAAACAAAACTTCGATTACAAAATATTCGTCATTTTCTTGACCTCCTTCCACACAACAAAATTGCACAAACTTCACGCCTGTTTTTCTTTCGATTAATTCTTTGTTTCTTTCTTTTTCTCTATATTTTTCTTTCACTTTAATTTCCATCTTAATAATTTGCTACTTTGTTCAGCCATTCTTGGGCACATTTCGCCTGTTATTTCAAATTTTCGACGATCCCAATTCCTAGATCAACATGGAGACGAGAGAAAACAAGAAGATCAGAAATCAAGAATCGTAGGATGGAGAAAAACAAGTAGAATTTGATTATGATAAACTAGGCTGTTTACCCGACAGTGTATTAATTCGTATGGTTTCTTTGTTTGATACGAGGACTGCAGTCCAAATGCTACAGACTTCTGTGGACTTCATTGCCCAGTCTCAATTTCTACTATTTTGGCCAATCCCCCACTTAACTTTACCTTATTTGTAAATCATGTTCTGGGCTGGAGGGACTGTACAATTTGACTGGGTTTCGCCTTTCGCTGAACAAGGAAGTGGCCGCAGGTTATATTAGCGAATGTATTTCTTATGCGATTAGTCACAAAGTGCAGAATCTCAACATTCGTGCTTACGCAAAAGATAGTCTTTTCGCTTTCATTAGCTTGTTGCATGCTTCTTTATCGTTGAGAATTTCATATCGTTAACTAGCTATTGGCTTGCCTAAGGCTAGGCTTGCACGAGCTTTTCGTTAATAGGCTTCTGTGGCTCGCCTCGGACATGAGTCGAGCTTGACTCGTCCATAGGATGAGCCGAGCCCTACCTAAATGGCAATCTACATAAAGTATCTTTCACCATGTTTTTTTTTTTTTTTTAAGGATGTGCAATTAAAATTTAGAAATTGAGTCAAAATGTAATATTATCTCATAGAGAGAATATATGTTTGAAAATGAACTTAAAGAAAAATAAGTTTCAAAGAATATGACTAAAACATGGGCGTCATTATTAACACCAGCAAGTATAATGCATTTATTGCAATCAATTTGCTCATTCGAGGTAAATGAGTACTTATACTTTTATCTTAAATTTCAATCTAGTTTAAATCTTATATATTGATTGTTGTCTCATTTTTAATCAACGTGGGATTATACTCTTATCCCTTCATATAGTTGAGGTTTCTCTTTAGTACAAGTGGAAAAACACTGTATAATTTCAAAAACCTTGATGGGCCTCCACGAAATTATGGCCCCTTATAGTTGGATAAATTAAAGTTGACTGAGAATGGGACAATCTGAGGCTCATAGAAGCATCTTCACGTCTATATTAGAGAAAGTCTTGGAAGTATTTGAGATAGTTCTACTAGAATCTAAAATAACCAGGATAGTCTTCAAAATATTTTGCATGTAGTTTACATGGATTTTCTGGCATCCATGGATACAGGCAACTACAAAGATTTTAGAACGTAATTTCCTCCAACGTATGGTGATTTGAATTGGAGTGATCATAGCCGCCCGAGGGCATGGAAAAGTATATATAAGGAACACCTTACTTTATGATCGGCAAGTTCTAACCTCTCGTAGCAAAGTTTCATTATGGTTACGAAACTTTATTTTGTTTCAAAATTGTCAAGAAAATTTAGCTTCTAAAATGTCTGACGTAAAAAATCTCCATATTAGTACATCTTGAGATTGATAGTCTTGGCAAGACCCAAGATTCGTGTAATTAAAAATGTAAATGAATATAATTCTGAATAAGCATTTATCATAGACTCAATATATTTTTGGATCCAACGTTACTAGGCTTGCAAACCATGCAAGATGATCCACATAGGTCCAACCCTTTTGAGCACGCATTGAATAGTGAGTACGAAACCTTATCAATTTTCACACATATACTCCTTCAAATTAAAAAAATCCATCACCAAACTACATCACTCACATTTGAATTTGTAAAAATGGTAAACCTACTTTTGTTAAAGAAAGCTCAATGCACATTTGATCCCATTTTTTTAAATTTTTTTTGGGGGACGGAGAATGTGTGATTAAAAAATAGAAAAAATGTGATTTTATGTTTAAAGATACAAAACAATATAAAAATCATACTTGTAGATAAAGGTGGCTACATTCTTTTCTTTTCTTTCTACACCCTTTAAATAGTAATGGATTTTGTTATGCTTGAAAACTCTTTTATTTTTTCCAAACTTGTATAACAAAACATAATTTACTCGAATTTTCACTCAGTAATTTTTATATTTTAGAGATTTTTTCCAAAAATTTCAATTGCTTTGTGAATAACGAAATGACCACAAATTAAACAATCAACATTCCCTTTGTCATGCCATTTCAAAATACAAAATAAAAAATCTCCTACAAGTGCGATTCCAACTGCACAGGGTATTATTATTTTAATTGTCAATTTTTGTAAACTATGTACAGCCCTACCATAAAAAGGTGAGCCGACAACATCAATTAAAGGTGATTCTTTAAATATGTTTTCTGATTCGGTATAAGTTAAATAATTTAGTGTTTATACTCAAATGAAGAGCGATCTTTTACGACATCAATTTTGTTGAAAATAATTACCGTGCAGTCAATTTCTATCGGTTCACAATAACTTATTCTTGTGATCAACAAGAAGAAATTTGAATAAGGAATGGCAAGGTTTTCCGCCCTTTCCTTCTCTTTTGCCAAGTTGGATTAGAGTTTGATTTGCATTATGATTTTTTTTTTTCCAGCAATTCTGCCTGTCACCTCAGCTTTTATGTTAGATTAGGTGGCAAAGATAGACTGAATGACCAACTTAAAGCAACACATAAAGATGTGAGATCAAATTGGAGAAAAAAGGTAAGGCAATCGAATGGAAACCATCCTAAAAGTTTGACCAACTTAAAGCATCACATAATTCATGATAATTGAACATAATTATACTCACGTATCGCAAAACATTAGACAAAAATAATTAACATAAACATAAAGTATCAAATATGGTTTAACAATATTAATTTAAATAAACATGCCTTCATAGTAATAAAATAAACGTTGGATACAAAATACTTGCAATTTTGACTACAAATTAGCTAAACATCGTGTCAAAATTTAATTAGACAATAAATTAATTTTCAAATACAATATATCAAATATTCCACAAAAGAAATATTCATCGTTCACCCTCATTCATTATAATAACTTAAAATTATAAGGGCTCAAATAATTAAATGCCAAATTAATTATTTTAATTAGTAAGATATAAAGTTTTCGAAACTTAAATCAAATTAATTATACTACATGGTAGTATTATTATTTGTTATTTTAACATCAAAACATGAGTTACATATCTAAATTGAATAATAATAAAATCACTATTACTCACAGGAGTTACATTTAAACCTCTTTCAAAATATCAATTAAGCATATTATTGAGGGTTAAATCTTTTAACTGTTTTTCCAAAATAAAATCATAGAATCCCCATGTAATCTAACCCAACCAATTCACATGCATGACAAAATACTAGTTTTGATTATAGGATACAATGATAATATCTCACTGTATATTTAGACAATGATTTGTCTTACTTCTACTATATAACTATCCACATTAAAAATTAGAGACAATGTCAAAAGAAAGGCTGAAAAAATGTCATATTAAATTCGTCAGACCAATTTAGTTTATGAGCTAGATAATTGATCATGGGATGCGAAAATTTTTTGTCCCAAATTACAAGTCACCTTGACGATTGCATCAATGAATTTTTCAAAGATGCAACTAAAAAACTGATTGTACACTAACAGAATTCAAGCTATATAGAAAGTAGGGAAAAAATTGTGGCTGGAGAAAATTTGAAAGAAGCTCCAAGACTAATGTTCCACAATGGATGCTTCTAACTCATCTAATTAGATCACTACCGCCCCATATGTTACACTTAGTTTTATCTTTAAGAACTTGGAACATTATGTGAACCAACAAAGACGCCTGAAATCATCAAAGGTTGTAGGGATACAAGTTGCCCAGTTTGCATCTTGAAGAATTATATAAAATCACACCTAAATGCATAAATTATGCACAAATAATTAACAATTTTCCACAATATGAAAATCTAGGGATAATGCAATTTCCCTGGTTAAAATGCAATGACCACACAATTTCAAATACTACTACATATGGTTAATAAAGAGATTGATTAATTTAAAAATAATATAGAGTGTGAAATACCCCAACAAAAATAAAAACACAGAGAAACTACGATCAATTATATGGGTTTATGTAATTAACAATTAGTAGCTCCATGAACGAATCTCAATGGTATAGACTAGTAGGTACTTACACAACTCCATTTGCATATTGAATTTTATTTGTTTACTTATTTTTAAATTTAGAATTGCATATTAATCAATTCTCTATTTAGGATCAAGGACTAAAACTTGAACATCACGATCACCAAATATTTCAAAATTAAAGTCCACACCAATATTATTTTGTGGACACAAATAATACTCATTATAACAATATCATCATCAGTCCCAATATTATACATTATACATCAATATATGGCAAAAATTACCAAAGAAATTTGCAAATTCATCATAGCTATTTTTCTAATCATTATTTCTATTATGGTAAAACAAAATCAATCCTTAATTTACTTCTCTAGATCATTTAATGAGAGCACAAATGATCATTTTCACCGTCATACTAATTAGAAAGTTAAATTGATTGGGCCAACAAGTCCATATTTTTGAGTTCTGAATAAAATTCATTGAATCCATTTTTTTTCCCTCTAATCACTTGGGCACCCATACGCAAGATATATTTCCTACACTTTGAAGATCATAAAAAGAATTGTCTACA